CGCTGGGGTTGCCGTCAGAACTCCGAAATTGCAGTCGGCAGAAAGCTTCTTTAAAGCTGCGACATAGCTCGATATCGACTCGCCCACCTGCTGGTCTCTTCGCTGAAGCCTCGTCCTGTTGAAAAGCTCCGACGGCCGCGGGTCGTAGTGTTTCTTCAATGTCGCCATGAGCTCGTCGAAGCTGACCTTACCAGGAGTCTTTGGTGCCACGAGCGCTCGTACAACTTCGTAGGTTTTTGCTCCGCAAAGGGTCAGCAGTAAAGCCCTCTTCTTTGTAGGCTCCAGCACTCCGTTTGCTTCGCAGTAGAATCCAAGTCGCTCTGCCCAAGAAGGCCACGCTGTTCCATTAAATTCTTCCAGCTTGCCCTGGGTAGCCATCGTTCACTCGCCCTTGTGGTGCCCATTCACCGACCTCGTCGCCAAAAGTGTGATGTACCGCGAGTAAGACCCAGCTGCAGCCGTTAGTCGCTCGACTCGTTCGTTTTAATCATGGCTCCCGACTGACCGAGACCCGTGCTCTTTCAAACCGCGCGCTTCCCAACACGTCCCGCCATCTGCTATTAGCGGCGAGATGTTTCGGTGGCGCACTCGTTTGGTTACCTTTCGTGACGTCATCACCTTGTGAACAACAAGTACGATGGTGTTTGTAATAGGCATGGTAGAAGCCTGAAATCATTGCGCTCTCAAAGCAACACTGCCAGCACCGTCAAAATTGAAGTTCTTGCATTACCCTTATTTCCGTCGATCAAACATCCGTTCCTGACGTCATAGTCAGCATTCGGCCAATTGTGGTGGGCCGACCACAGCGACGCTTTCGATCGCTCACGTCGCCAATAGCATAAGCAGATACATCACAGTTACCCTAGAAGTGGGTCAGCGCCACCATACGGGCAACCGGGCGGCGCTGCTCCTCGCCCTTTTCCGGCGGCCGCGCGTCCATGAGCTCGTAGCGGCTCCCAGCGAAGCGCGAAAGAAGTGAAAGAAGTGCCCGCGCGATCACGGCCTCTCTCGGCGCTCGAGACAAGACAGACATCTAGCAACAGCAGCACCCACAAGATCGGCTCGTCACGTCTCAGATTTAACATAATGTAATTAGTGTGAATAAGTTAGTTGAAGCTCAGTACGCTTCAAATTTCCAAATAATCGGTGGTACCAGCACCACCTGTTGGTATCATCGCGGTTTGCGCTGGGCCGACGTCCTCGATATGTGTGTGGAGAGGATGGTCGTAAAGGACGGGCACGTAGGTCTCGCAAATTCTTCGCAGAGCTGCGTACTATCAAAGGCACTATCGTTAAATTCTACTTTACAACCCCTCAAAATGGCTGCTCCATGGGAAAACCTTTTAAAGGAATTCCCAGTGCTAACGCAGCCATGCAACACCGAGGCACCAGTCAAACACAACATCACACATTGCATCGACACCAAAGGCCAAGCCACGCCGCCTCGCCCCGGACAGGCTAAAAATCGCTAAAAATGAATTCTAACACATGCTGGAACTCGGATTCATTCGTCCATCGTCCAGCGCGTGGTCTAGCGCCCTGCACATGACACAAAAAAAATCTGGTGACTGGCGACCATGCGGGGAATATAGAGCCCTCAACAAAATCACGGTGCCGGATCGATAGCCCATTCCCCACATCCAAGATTTTGCTGGGGCACTACACGGTGCGACGTCCACTATAGCGTCCCTATGACGGACCCTATGCAGTGCTGCAACGAACTGACAAAACATTCACGCTTTCAGTCAACGGCCGAATAGAAGTAATTTCAATTGACCGCATTAAGCCTGCACATCTCGCAAACAATGAGCTACAAGAAATTGATGCAACTTCGTTCACAAGCACATCACACACATCGCTCGTATTACCCACAACCTCGCTAGGGGGGGAACCATGTAGCGGCTCCCAGCGAAGCGCGAAAGAAGTGAAAGAAGTGCCCGCGCGATCACGGCCTCTCTCGGCGCTCGAGACAAGAGAGACATTGAGGAACAACGGCACCCACAAGATCGGCTCGTCACGTCCCAGATTTAACATAATGTAAATAGTGTAAATAAATTAGTTGATGCTCAGTACGCTTCAAGCTCTTTCGTGAAATCCCTATACTTCGTTTCAGCTTCGGTCCGAGCGCGGCCGATGTTGTGAGCCGAAGGGCCAATCGAAGAGCACTAAAAGCGCAACGTCATGGCGTGCTCTCTGCGCTGGATAGGACTAGCCGGCAGAAGAGCGCGCACAGAGAGACGGCGAATACCAGCTGGTCCTATCACCTGCAGAGAGCACGCCATGACGTTGTGCCTCTTTCGCTGTTTGATTGGCCCTTCGGCACATAACATAAACGGCGCTCGGACCGAAGCTGAAACGAAATATAGGGAGTATTCACTGGCGGCCATAGCTGTGTGCGCGAATGCTGAGCGCGTGCTGATGGCGAGCTTCCACAGTTCTTTTGCAACGTGCATTCCGCACCATTAAGAGTGCCGGTTTTAGCAGCCTATTGATGTGAGCTCGTTCTGAGCATGCGCTCTAAGCAGCACCCACAAATATGGCGTCCAGTGAATACCACCTATAGACCGTTTTACTGAAAGAGGGCGAGAGAAAAGGGGAAAGGGCTACCGGCGCTTTCCCCCTTTCTGATTGTGCAGAAAGAGTGAAAGTCCCGGATGAGAGGCTTGGCCGGTGTTGGGTGTCTGCTGTGCCCCAACTTCGTTCGCGCTTTCTTTTCTGTTTTGAACTCGCAAACTTAATTAGAGTAACGGACTTCGATGGCAACAGTTCTCCGGTCATCGGGACACCATTGCTCGGTCATAGGGTGCACAAATAACGACAGAAAGCGTCGAATACTGTCCGAGGACCTATGTAGCTGGCAATGAATCTGGCAAGGCGAGAGCGGCTGCAATGTCTTTGAGCTCCATCGCTTTCCAAATGACCCCGGTCTTGGCGGCAGTGGATTGCGTTCGTAAACCGCAAAGACATTTCTTCAACACCATCTTCTCGACTGTGCTCCGAACAGCTTGTGAATGGAGCGCGCACCGAACGCTGTACCGCCGATGAACATGGGGTACGCTTGCAAGGTGCGTCCCAGTTTTCCCGTGATAATTGCTGTTTAAGCTTGTAAAATTTTGTAACTGAATTTATCTTAATATTGATAATTCGCAGTGGTGACTGACTCGATTTCATCATTTACAATACTTAGTTGAAGGCTCATTTCCGCCGCCGGGTGAGGCTAGAAATTGTTGAAAAGGTACTTCTATCGGTTTTCCTGAATAGCGATCCCCTGTGCGATACCAGAGAGCCGACGAAAGCGCTCCTTGGAGTGCCGCGGGTGGGTTGTTTGGGTTGTTTCCGTTGATTGGGCGCTTTGAAGCACTGGATAGTCGCGCCAGGGTAAGGCTCGTGTGCTGCGATCTGCGTCTTCGAGCCCAGTGTGTACGTTTCTTTGTTGGAGTCATGGCATCCGCCAGTGCGGCAACGGGCGGAACAGCGGCAGCGAACGTGTCAGTGATAGAAATTGAAGGTTAGTACTCAAAATATTGCATCAAAAAGTAAAATAATTCGTGGCTGCTTTGACGCTTTCTGCGGTTCGATATAAGCACATCTAGAACGTCTTCGTCGTTCACCCACAATGAAATATGAGAACACGGACACGCAAGCTAAAAGCAGCGCAGCAAAACGATATGTAGCAGCTCCGAGTGTTTACAAAAGTTAATTGAGGTTCCCGTTTCGTGTATCGCTTGTTCATTACTAAAAACGGCTGCGTTGAGATGGGCCTATTGCAAGCAAAAATTTATGAATGGTTCATTATTTCCAGTCATGCGGAAAGCGGTGGAGCTTCAAAACATTGCAGCCGCACGTTCCTTGCCGAATTCCATGCTAGCTACGAGGTCCTTGGGCGGTGTTCGATGCTTTCTGTCGTTATTCGTGCACCCTATGACCGAGCAATGGTGTCCCGATGACCGGGGGACTGTTGCCATCGAAGCCCGTGGCTCTAATTAAGTTTGCGAGTCTAAAACAGAAAAGAAAGCGCGAAAGAAGTTGGGGCACAGCAGACACCCAACACCGGCCAAGCCTCTCATCCGAGACCTTTACTCTTTCTACACAATCAGAAAGGGGGAAAGCGCCGGTAGTCCTTTCCCCTTTTCTCTCTCGCTCTCAAAATGGCGCTACCCACGATAAAACGGTCTATAGGTTTTCTAGAATAAAGAGGGCCATGCACCGACTTTTTCTTCGAGGTGGGCCCTTCTCGCATAAATAGCTGGCCTTGTTTTCCAAAAAAAAAAAAAAAATGGCAAGCCCCCCCTTGCCCCCCTCCTCGCACGACACACTCGTGTACTCCCCGCGATTACCCTAATTACCGAGATAATTCCTAAAATGCATCCAGAAACCGTAGCGTTATGGGATCACGTGGGGAGCGATGCTTTATTAGGGAGTTTTCGTAGAACGCTTTCCCCAACCCACTACGATACCCGGAACTCAACAGTCAAGGCCATCGGTGCGCAGGCGAAGTAGCGGAGGCCTTAGCGGAGGGGGAAACGCAGTCTACGAAAACTCCCTATTATTCGGTGGGTCAGCTGTGTAAACTTCGAAATTTTGACACAACAAATTTTGACAGCACGAAATTTTTCCACAACGAAATGTGTTTCGCTGAATGACTGCTGCCGTGGTTTGGCGCTATGTGCTAAGATACCCGTTTACCGCTCACTCCCCCTCTCTCTCCTACGTTGGGTGGTTAATCTACAGGCCCCAAGTGTCATGCCTTCTCCGCAAGGAAGTAGTGTGTAAATAGGAAGTTTTCGTCGACCGCGTTTCCCCCTCCGCTAAGCCCTCCGCAACGAGGCAGCCGCTACTGCGCCGGCGCGCCGATGGCATTGACTGCAGAGTCCCGGCTAGCGTAGCCGGTTGCGGAGAGCGTTGCGGGACAACGGAAACGATTTACGAAAACTTCATGATAAAACTCAATTTGTGTCCCCCTCCCCACACACACACACCCATACACACATCCCGCTCACCTGCCGTGGTAGAGCGTCTTGAAGCGGTCGGCGATCTGGTCAAAGTCTGGCCTCATGTCCGCGTACTCCGCCCAGCACTGGCGCATGATATGCAGCGCCTCCGGCGGAGCCGTCTGCTTGGACACCGACGGCCGGATCAGCGGCGGCGGGTGCTTCAGCTTCTCGATGATTTCTGCACAAGCGGCGTGCGCCGTGACCCCCACTTACACAATGATAGATTGGTTCCCGACGCTTCAAGACAGCGTTCAGCTTGAAGAGAAGAAGCGACATTGCCGCGGTCTGCCACAGATGTGTAATGTATTGCAATGCGTGGCAAACTGTAGCGTCCAGCCTATATTGATAAGACCACGTCAATTGCTTGAGCCGAGTTAGAGCCTCTAATATAAGCTTTTACAGGAGGCTCTTGCCGAGTCACATGTCCTTCCCGGGATCAAATAACAAACCTGCAGGTTTGTTATTTGAACCCGGTGGTGTATGGATTAATTCCAAAATAATTCTATAACGTTTGGGGGTATTAGGACTGAATTCTTTAGTGCTTGATGAGCTCAAAAATAAGGCATGCTTTATTTTTGAGCTCATCAAGCACTAAAGAATTCAGTCCCAATACCCCCAAACGTTATAGAATTATTTTGGAATTAATCTACACACCAAATAAAATAAAAAGAATGACACAGGGAGAAGTGGAAGAAATACGCATACACAGCGCTGACTCTCGAATGTCGTTTTCTTTTACAAAAAATTACATGAGCATAAAAAAAGATAAATAAAACATGGAGGGGAAACAAGATAGGGCACCGTTCCGTCAAACAATACCGTGAAACACCGTCAAAGAAATGTGCCATACTGACTAATAGGCGAAAATTTACCGTAGGAAAGAGTTACTGACTCAATACTGATAAAAGCAGTTACAATGCCGAATAATAAAAAATAAAACCTTCGTAAGTTTTTTTAGCGATTCTTTGGTATGTTTGGCCAATATTTAAATATGATTAAATTACGGAGTATAGAGCTACATTTATTGCGGCTGTGCTCGCTTAACTATACATCATGCTATATCCTTAAAAACTAAAGGTATTTCAAATAGGGATGCCGCGAACTTTTTTCGAATCGAAGTTTCGATGATCGAATCGAGCGGTTCGAAAGGTTCGAAAGATTTCGATTTTTCGATTTGTCTAGATCGTAAAATTCGACGGAGGTCGAATTTTCGAACTTGTTAAGCTAAGAAGTTCGACGCTTTTCGAACCGTCGAACTTATTACGCTAAAAAATTCGATCTTTTTCGAACTTTCGAACTTATTGCGCTGCAAGGTTCGATGCTTGTCGAACTTTCGAACTTGACTGACCAAAAAATTCGATAAATTTCGAACTTTCGAACTTATTTATCAAGAAAATTCGAAAAGTTTCGAACTTTCGAATTCTGAAAAGTCAGAAGTTCGACGAACTTCGAACTTTTAGGGTAAAAGTTCGACGTTCGTCGAACTTCGAAAGACCGGCGGACGGTTTCATTTGATTTCAAGTAGTGGGGCCGGTACATTCGTAATTTTTTTTCTGGAACTTTTACACGCGGTGCTGTGTTCCTTACGAAAGACAATGTCATTTATTTCAATGTTCTGGCATGCTTAGGTTTAAAGAAATAAATCCCCGAAGGGGCGAGGACGGACGACGGGTTTTTCACGATTATCGTTTGTGCCAGATTTGAAGCACGCTGCAGCCAGAGCTATTTATGGTAGATATGTTATACTTTTTTTTAAGAATGATCTATGTATAGCGTAGGTAAGTGCCGTCTTAAGATGTGATTATTGTTATTCAACGTGAGTTTCGAAGAAATGTCCAAACATGTATCTGCATGCAATTATGACCTAAACTTGATATTTATTTTCGTCTAAGTTGTTTGAGGTATCGCATTTAAATTAACACCACAGACAGTACATATCATTGCCATCTGCAGAATACAAAATAATATATTTATTGTTTTTTCACGTTAAGGAATAAATTAACTCATGGCAGAAGATTTCTAGTAGTGTTCAAGTTCAGCACGTCATTAAAAGAAAACTTTTTTTTTTTTTCGCTTGACGTTCCTGGGACGTGTTTCTTTTAGCCTGTACACATTTTGGTAAAAGAAACTTGTTTCGAAGTTCTGAACCTCTGAATATGCAAGAATAGAACACTTCCGACGAATTCTTGATAGTTTTTTTTTTTTCTCCTGCTTTTTATTCCCGCATTTATTCTTTTTTTTTTTTTTTTTTTTGTTACTATCGGCACAGGTGTTTAGGTCGAAAAGACAGCTTTGAACTTCCGAACCACTAAGCATGTGACGAGCAGTGCCTTCTGACAACGAGTTTCTAACAATGACCATCTACGCAACCTTTTATGCAGTGAAGAGCGACAGTAGCTATACATATGCATAAATAATTTTAGATTAAAATAAGCTCGACCACGCCCTCTTTACCCGTATTGTTTTCTTTAACAGTCCGAAATACCTGCAAGGGGGAGAAGGAGGCTAAAGCCCCCTCCCCCCCCCCCCCCCCCCCGCTACCCTCTTTCCCCCCGTTTTTCCTCTTCCGACGCCACTTGTATGGTAGAACGCTCCTCGACCTCGAGTTGTGTCGGCTTTTGTGCTTTTTGCGAGGCGATTCCTCCGTCCCAGAAAATAAACCTCCAGTACAATTATAAACTTCACCGGATCGGATTACTACCAGCGTGCAAGGGGTGGCGAGCTAGTTTGCCAGGTCGCTTCAAGGTTTCTCTGAGCCTCAACCTCCTGCTCGCCCCTGGCCGTTTCGAACTGGATGAGTCTCGTAAAACAGTGTGTTCGTGCAATCACTACTGCGTGATAAAGACCCCCCCCCCCCCCCCCCCGGGGTCTGGCAGTCACAATTCTGCACTGGCAAATATTCTAGCACGTCCGGGACACTCGTCGTCTCATTTAATTGCCTTACCAACTTCGCAGAATCTAAATATCACACCCTAACTTTTCTAAACTTGATTTTGTGAAAACAAGTGAGTCGTGAAAACGTTATTTGAAACTGAAACTGTAGAAAAACTTGAAAATCGGACTTCAAACTTTGAAAACTTGGATTAAAAAAAATTCAAAATCTTCAAAGTTTCTTTTTTTTTTTTTTTGAATTTAGCGTTAAAAGAGAATCGAAACTTTCGAACTTTTCGAACCTTATGCCAAAAGAAATTCGAAATATTCGAATTGTTCGAACTTCATGTCTATAAAAATTCGAAGCGTTCGAAGTTTTCGATTTTTTTTACAAAGAATTTCGAAATCTTCGAATTTATCGAACCTGTAGTAAAAAAATATTCGAAATATTCGAATTCGAAATTTTAGAAACCGTGAAAGCTTCGAAATTTTCGATTTCGAAACTCCGCTGTGGACAAAAGTTGCGAATTTTTCGAAATCGAACCTCGGTCGGTACGAAAATATCGAAATTTTTCGAAATCGAACTTCAGTTCGCTTCGCAAATATCGAAACCTTTCGAAATCGAACCTAGGGTGGTTCGCGACATCCCTAATTTCAAACCACTAGATTAAAAAAAAAAAAAAAAAAAAAAAAACGTAAATACTTGTAACTCTGCCGACTGAGCTATTTCAAGGCTCCGTTATTTCTAAATCTAACAAACCTAAAAAAAATTCCTCCTATAACAAAAATGTTCCTGGGAATTTATACGTAAATACAACTTCAAAGATCCGTTCACTTTAAACAACGCAGTGTTGTCACTTGGCCCTCCAAGGTATATTTTTATGAATCAAGCTTGTTTCATCGTACTAACCTTCCTTGATATACTGTTGTCCTGGCGTCGAAATAAATACAAAATAATAACTTTTCATCGATTATCGCTATTACCCTAACTTCACACATCTTTCCGAGGAAGTCTGGCACCCCTTTTATTAGGAAGACGCATGCCATACAACCATAAACTGGTATACTTCAATGTGTAAAAAAAGCTATCCAGATATACATAAAAAATAATACACTACGACATTTTACAGTGAAGCTGCTTATGGCAAGGGATCTGTGTATTTTTCGTGTGCGTCGACAAAAACTTAGGTCCTGAATTTGGTTCAAAATTGCTTCATTCTAAGCAAAAGCTTATACATCTCATCACGTGGATATGCATTTTCAGTAGATTAGTTATAGATAGGCTCCATTTTCAAGATGAGTAGTTTCTCAGGTAGATAATAAAGGTTTCTTAAAGATTTGCCGCTGTGCGACCCGTGTCGGCAGCGTATAGGCAAACCATATCCCGTACAGCACCTGGCCACGCCCCCTTGTCACGTGACATGACGTCACTTCCGCCAAGGCAATTTGTCATGTCACGTGACCTGACGTCACTTCCGCTCCAAACCGAAACCAGTTGTTTTATTGGTTAGCGAATTGTCACGTGACATGACGTCACTCGCGCCGCTGTGGCAAGGTAAGCATGGCGCCCGCCGCCGCCTGAAGCACGAATCGTACGCGGTCGATCATCGGTGCAGTCGCGGCTGAAGCCAGAAACGCTTGAGACGGGAAGCCTACGTGATCGACGCAGTCGCGGCTGAGACGCTGTGAACGCGGTGACGCGAGGGACTCAACACTTGGTGACGCAACTACGCGACGCCCGCAGTATGCGACGTCTCGCATCGTGCTTCTGCACAGGAGTGCGTAAAAGGCGCAAGTACTTCTCTTAGCGTTCTCAACTCGTCGCTTGATAAGAGCGAAGCAAGGTTACTACCAACGCCTACCGCTGGTTTCCGAAGTCGAGCCTTCGGTTTCCAACGTCGGGTCTCGATGTCGCCGCTATTCTTGCCGCGCAGGTTCGTCGCCGACGCGGCGGATGTGAACCATGTCATGCATGAACGCTTGCCTTTTTCGATACGAAAATATGCTCTGTCGTCACGAACGCTTACGCCGACCCACAAGCTGAATTTGAAGTATTGTCAGCATTTTTATTTCGCCTGTACGTTGTCATCGCATCACCGTTACTCGCGGCGACGCAGATCTTCGTGCTTGCCTTCTAGCGGTGCCGCGGCTCTCCCGACCCAAAATAAAAAAAGCTGCTCTACGCTCGAACCGCAAATTGGGGAAGTGGTAAAGAAATTAGCTTAGTACCGTCAGAAACACTCGTATGACGATAGGCATGCCCAGTGGAACTATGAAGAGAAAAAACAAGAGTGCATACTTTGAACT